AGGATTATCTCAAAATCTATTTTCATATCTAATTATAAAATTTTAAATTTTAAAAATGGCTAAAATCAAGTAGATCTATAAACATATGAAAATCTTGAAAATGGACGGTGTAGATAATATGTTGTAAAATGCATTATTTCTGAGACTTAAAATCTATTTATTTTTCGTGGTCATACATTTCGATGTTGAGATGATCAATCAAAGGGTTTTTCAACATTAAAACTACCTTTTCTGATAGATTTTTGAGGTGCATCTGTAGTTCTGCATTATAAGGTTGCATCCTTATATAAAATTTTTCCATAACCGAATACATTCAAAGATTTTTGAAGAACTAGAATCTAAAGTTCAAAAGAAATTAAAAACTGTTAAAGCTCAAAATTGTATTATTTTAAAGATTCATAACCATAGTAGTTTAGATCATAGTTATCGGGATCCAGAATCTCGCTCGGAACCCATTCCCATCTTTTTGAGATCTCGCTCCAATTTTTAGGATTCTCAATCTTATTCACAACGGAGCTCGCTTCCGATACTTCAGGGGTCTCGCTCCCGATACTTCATGGATCTCGCTCTCATTGTCTCACGAAACGCGTTCCGTACCATAATAGATGTGGTTCTTGAACAAATTAGATCCCCGCTCCCAAAATTTTAAGATCGCGATCCTGACGTTCTGGGAACTAGATCCTAGCCTAACAAGGCTGTGACCCCGATCCTATAATCTATGGAGCTCGCTCAGGAGGAAAGTGGATACCAATCCCGACAGTATAAGGTTCTCAATTTATGAAATCCCGGATTGCGACCCTAGGAACACGGACGTTAACTCCATGTTTATTTATTTGTTCATTGTAGTCGGTGATTCATACTTGCAATGGGCATTTAATCGTACCTACAGTAATTCCAAAAAAAAAAGAAGGCTTAATTTTGTATAGGGTGTGGTTTCTGTAAAGTTACAAATTACAACCTTAAACAATCCAATTAAGGTGCACCTCTAAATTTTATCATAATATGGAATTTTGGTGTAATTTTTTTTTAAGATTATCTAAAATGTATTTTCATTTTTAGTTATAAAATTTTAAACTCCAAAAATGTGTAAAATCAAGTAGATCCCTAAGCTTATGTAAATCTTGAAAATGAATGGTCTAGATAATGTGTTGCAAGATACAAAATTCTTCGTACAATTGAGGGTATTACTAAATTCATCAAATATTTCCCTAAAGATTAATAGTCTAGCAATAGATTTTTCTATCAAAAAAATTTACGTTACAGAAGCTAGTGCACTGCAAAAAAAAATTAGAGGTTTTCTTTGGAGATGGAAATAATCAAATATAGTGAATGAAATAGACAGCCTAGAAAGACTCAGATATAGAGAGTGAAGAAGACAAGACTTAGAAAGATTAAGTACTAGTTTGGATGTATCCAAAACTGCAATATTCGTGGATGCCAAGATAAAAGATAGAAGGTAAGAACCGTTTGGAAGGATAATCTCATAAAGTTTTCTAGTTCATTAAAGAAGGGGTGAGGTTTGTATAAGGTGTCAACCTTATACTATTAACATAAGCTGTGTCTCAAAAGAGAAAGCTTCTCTCTATGGGTTGACCAGGTGATTACTACCAACCCATTTTCTCAAGATGTGGATATGGATCCTACGGTCATGAGGTGGGGTCGCATACACTTAGGTAGGAGAGGGTCTCATAGGATCATTACTCATTAAAAATGATTTGCAAAAAAAAAGAAACTAAACACAAAAGCACAAGATTCAGAAGAATTGAACCCTGTAATCAAGATTCAAAAGAATTGAAATAAGGTAAAAAATCTCATAAGACCATTTGTTTTTTATATAAGGTGATCATATTCACTATCGGCCATTAGATCACAAATCATGTAGCTTAAAGTATGCATGACTTGCTTCAAAATCCAAAAGAATTGAGTGGTATATAAATGTCTTTATATATAAAAGTGGCTATAACATGAAATTATATTTCGTATGAGGTACTCTTGCCCAACAGTCGCTACCACGCTTTGAGTGGGGTCAACTCATCAAATTATGTGAATTGGGTGAGACTCAACATTAAACGGGATCTCGTTCTTGTTGTCGTTGGGAAAGCGATCCTAATATATATGGAAGCGCGATCCTATGTTACATGTAACACGGTTCTGTCAAATAAGGATCTCGATCCCCATGTATCAAGATCTCGCTCTCTATTCAAATGGGATCTCGCGCCCTAATCAAACGGGATCTCGTTCCATAAATACATGGAACGCATTCATGTTAAATAGGGATCTCGATCCCAATATATCGAGATCTCGCTCCCTGTTCAAACAGGATATCGATCCGTAACTTCTACCCTCACCGGAACTCGCTCCCCGAGTGCCGGAACCGGAACCGCTCCCGCTCGTACTCCCGCTCCCGGTAACTATGGTCTAGATAATATACCTATAAAATTACAAGTCCAAAATCAATCTCCAATATGGACTTTGAAATAGTGTCTTACCCACCCACTGTTCTACACATGCATACGGTGAGGAATCTTTGGTTCTCAGAAAAGATTCAGTGTTTATTGATTGTATAAATATACAAACTTGTCTTATATAGACAATAATAATAAATAAATCACATACCTATACTATACAGAGATTTACCCATACATACTATTATACTATACACTCATATTAACCTCGTAGATAATATATACTTTCCTTTCACACATTCCAGCAAACGAGCATGGAGCTGAAGTTGCTTATTTTTATTGTGTAGATAATACATACTTTCCTTTCACACATACCTGCAAATGAGCATGGAGCTGAAGTTTGCTTATTTTTATTGTGCAGATAGATGCTAACCATTATTTTACACACCAAGCAAATTAGCAGCTCATGCCCTTATGCCCCATGTTTCGCTGCAAGGTTTATGTCTCTCATCCTTTTTGCAACTGCTAGAACCTTGCCATATTCCAACTGTTTCTCTCTCACTACCTCAACATTGCAGACAGCAGAGAGCCATGAGCTAAAAGCAGGTGTCTTCTCTTCCTCTATAAGCTTTGCTCCAGCAATCTCTCCCATGACTTTGTACCAGGTTGAGAAAGAACCAACAACTAGGCCCAAAAGACCAGGGTTGTTTTCACCATTGAAAAATGGATTTTCTCCTCCATAATCCCTTAAAAGGCCATCTTCAAATACCTTCAAATTCTCTCTAATCATTGCAACTGTCCTCTCCATCTCTTTGTCCTCTGTTGCAAGGATGGCTCTACAATTCTCTGTTACCTATGCCAAACCAATGGAAAACCAAAAGAAAACTCAAAAAAGAAAGAAATCCAAACCTAGACCCACAGGTACTCATGTTTCATTGAAATGATATCTATAAACAAAGTAACAAACTGTTTTGAATAGTTTGAGATTACCTTTTTCTCAAAATAATCTACCCAAAATCTAACGCGAGCTTTGTCGTAAGGATTTTGGGGCAGTAAATTTGGAGATTCAGGCCAAGTTTCAGAAATATACTCGAGGACAATGAAAGATTCAGGAATCGGGTTTCCGTTGTGTAAGAGAACAGGGATTCTTTTATTGATCGGGTTGGATTTGAGTAGAAGAGGGCTCTTGTTGGTTAAGTCTTCATCTATGTAGTCATAGCTTATGCCTTTGAGCTTCAGGGCAAGCTCAATTCTTAGGCTAAAGGGGCTTGGCCAGCTCCCAATCAACTTCACTTCCTTGCCAGCTGAGGCCATAGAAATTGTAATTGCAGTATTTGAGAACAGCAAGGGAGTAAGGGAGATATATAGTGGTGTATCTAGGGATGGGCCTGGTCGGGCTAGCCTTGGCCCTAGCCCTACTCTATCCCCTTGATTGCCGGTCGAGGCCCGGCCTTGGCCCTATCAGGGCCAAGCCACGTAAAATTAAAGGAAAATAAACAAGAAAAGATAGAAATAAAGGGCCGGGCTGGGCCACCCAACCCACCATCCATAGGTGTATCTTATCCTTCTTGGGGCAATTTGATGCTTGGTGGCTGTGCCCGACTCCAATGGGAGCATACTGTATATTTACTTTTGTACATTTATTGAGAGCTAATAACTATAAACTTTTTGATCTAAGATTTTAAGATCTACTTAAGAATGACCAAAAGTAGATTTTGAGTTATTAAACACTTAGATCAATTTGACTGCCTCTCTTAAATTTTAAGACATTATTTTTTAGGCACAAATATAGTGCTTCTATTTTTTTTTTTTCTATTATTTTCTCTTAGATATATTGAAGAAGATCCAACCCCAAACTTTGGATCTTAAAAATACTCCCAATTTAAGTTTGGGTGTAGTTTGTAAAAAGTTGCAACCTTAAACAATCAAATTAAAGCGCACCTCCAAATTTTATAATAAATATAATTTTACTTATAAATTTTTTTTTAGGATGATTTGAGAATCTATTTTTATTTTCTGCCTACTATCAACCCATCTATATTTAGCATGTTTATGTGCTATGTTCAAGTGAGATCATACAACACCTTTGCTCACCTGGTGCAATAACGTACTTGGGGTATTCTTTTTTAAAAATAAAAATAAAAATTGGGATCTACCTAATAATCATCTGATGGCTATTTTCTTAGGATACGGTTTTTATGGGGCCAACCTACATATTGTAGAAATACGGGCTCGGCAATAAATATATTTTTAAATATAATTTGATCTTAATTTTTAGAAAATATATAATCTTTTAACATGGAAATCATGAATATAAAAAAAAAATTGAAAACTAAAAATAATAATTATATTACAAAAACATTTGGACCGTTAGTTACGCTTGTTTTCAAATGAACAACGTATTTGCAACCATCTCTAAGATGGGTGCTTTAAACCTCTTAACCTCGTATTGTAGAAATGTGGTACAACTTTCATGAAACAATTTTTCATTTCCTTAAATTTTATTTTTTTTAACACATAAATCTGATTGTCTAAAAATTTGGAAATTCCATTATGATGTGAACTTTTGCAAGCATGTGCAATGTCCCTAAAATTTGAGGTTTTAAAAAATACAATTAGATTAAAATATAACAGAAGAAGCTAAATCAGAAAAATGCTCATGCAAGATGACACAATCCTAGTGTAGAAGTTTGGTCTTGGCTACCTTTTTTTGTGTCGGCTGAATGCTTTATCACCCACCTTATTGAAATGTTGATCCCACTATGGATTGTTTTCCTTACTTACTTTCCTGTCATTGAGACTTCTAGTGCAAGGTGCAGCCCATGTGGACACCAAATCTCATGGGTTTCTTTTTTTTTGTTTTCTCAGGTCTACGTCGGAGAATGTAAGCAAGGACGTTTTAAATTTGAATAAACCGTGTGTTTGGGGTTTATCTTTTATGGGGCTTGTTAATCAATCTTCATCTCGGGATTTTAAGTGTTTTAACTTTTTATATTTTAATATAAATAAATTGATCTTAAGGATTTTTATCATATTTTAAATTAAGTGGGGGTAGTTTTGGTCTTTTTTAATTGTAATGTAAGAAAAAGGCTTGGGGGTGTTTGGGTCAATTTTGGGGCATAAACAGTTAAAATAAGGGTTTGAAAAAACGGCGAGTCGAACTGGACTCGCCTGGTTCGAATCGAGAATCGGCAGATCCCGCGCCAGTTCCACTACAATACCGGGAATCGCCCGTGTCCAGAGAGAACCGGGCGATTACCAATAGTGAATCGCCGAGTCACTGTTGAGACTCGTCAAAAAACACGGGCTTGACAGTGTTCTTCATGATTTTCATGGTTTTTGTCATTTTTTTTATCACTTATCATCTTTTTCAGCTTTATAATCGAATCTTGCAGGCTTTATTTTAAATTTTTCAGCCATTTCAGTCAATAAAAGGTAGTAAAAATCACTGATTTTGATAAAAAAAACTTGGATCTGTGAAAAACCCTAAAAAAGTTTTAGGGTTCCGCAATTTCTTTGATTTCAAGCAAAAGAGGGCATCATTTTTTTTAAAATCTGAGGGTTAATGATCGTAAGACTGTTGTTCATAAGTTTTTGTTCATAATTTGTGAGTATTTTGGACGAATACATATCAAATTTGAATTTGAAGCTACGGGTGCACGAAAAATAGGTAAGAACTGCGTTTTTTTTTTTTTTTGGCCATTCTATCAATTTCACTCAATATTTTACAAATAATATGTTAAATTTATAGGCTTTTGATTCGTTATAGTGTTGTTTATCATAACATATATTCAATTTGAGTTTGATTTTTGAGAAAAAAAAACTGAAATCTGTAAAAAAAGTCTGAGTTTTTTTTTTTTCGGCCATTCTATCAATTTCACTTAATATTTTACAAATAATGTGTTAAATTTATAGGGTTTTGATTCGTTATAGTGTTGTTTATCATCACATGCAGTCAATTTGATTTGATTTATTCAATTTGGGTTCGATTTTTGAGATTGAATGACTGATGTCTGTGAAGAACTACGTTTTTTTTTTTTTTCCTCAATTCAATCGATTTTATTTAATATTTTGATAATAATGTGTCAATATTATATGGCTTGGATTCCTTATAGTGTTGTTTATCAAAACATGTATTCAATTTGATGTAATTTATTCGATTTGAGGCCGATTTTTGAGTTGGAATAATTGATCTTAGGTGGGTCTGTGAAGAACTGCGTTTTTTTTTTTTTAATTCATGATCAATTTTTTTTGAAAAATCGTGATTTTTCGAAAAATTGTGACCAGTTTTTTATTCTCATGAGGAATTAAACAATATTTTTAATTTTTAGTTCAAAAATTTGCATGTTGATAGATTATTTATGCAAAAAAATACATGTTATTATATTTTTAATATGAAACTGTATTTTTTAATTTGTTGTTAATGCAAAAAAATACATTAACAAATACATGATGTTAAACTGTATTATATTTTTAATGCAGTTTTGTATCAAAAATGTATTTTTAATTTTTAAAATTTTTAGTGCAAAAAATACATGTTGTTAAACTGTATTATCATGAGGAATTAAAGTGAATATCATTGTAAAAAAAGCGTGGCATGTATGATAATTATATTATCTTGCATTTTTCAATTTTATTATTACATTTTTAATGAAAAAAATGTATGTTTTTGATAATTGAGTTGTAGCCATGTTTGGAGCTTGCATTTTTTATTATATTATCTTACATATTTGTAATTGAGATGTACAACTATTTGTGATCATTTCAATTGAGTTGGGATTGTGCCACTATATCGTTGTAAATTTTACTTGTGGCATTGTGATTGACAATATCATTGTAAATGTTTTTTGTGTCAAATATACGTGTAGTGGCATTATGGATGACTATATTATTGTAATTTTTTTCTTGATTCTAAATGTGACTTATACAAACTTTTTTTTATCTATAATGTTGTATAAATATTTTTTTTTTCTCAGTAGGAACTAATTCATGTTTGTCGAAATGAAGATTTATGACAAGTCCATATGTATTGGCATTGTAAATTACTATATCATTGTAAATATATTTTTTATTGATACTATATCAATGTAAATTTTTTGTTCTATATGTAGTGGCTGATATAGGCTATTTTTATCTATAATGTTGCATAAATAAATTATTTTTCCCAATAGGAACTAAAATATTTTTGTCAATAGAAGTATTTTGCATTAACAACAAATATAACTTCATGAACTACCCCGACATATTATAACTACACATGGTGATTATTTTTCATGTTGAACTGTTAGGTTAATTTTTAAACTTTTACATATTAAAACAGTTGAACCGACAAGATCTGCAGAAGACCTTGCATGGCAACATGGGGTCAGACTTGATCCCAACAAAAAAGACAAAATTATTTGTAATTACTGCCAAAGAGTAATAAGTAGTGGGGTACATAGGTTCAAGCAACACTTGGCAGGGATTAAGGGAGATGTTTCTGCTTGCAATAGTGTCCCTAAAAATGTAAGAAAGCAGATGGCGGCATTTTTCAAGGTTACCAAAGATAAAAAAATTTCAAAGCAGAGGATGGATGAGGAGATAGCTAATTTATATACGCCATCAAGTGAGAATGATCTAGAAGAGCAACATAATAATACTTGAAGATTGCCACAAGAATGAGTTTACAAGAAACATACAAAAGGGAAAGCGGGTTTAGAATGCCTGGTGGTTATGACATGGGCATGCATGGTGGGCCTAGCTCATACATGCATGGCGAGCCCAACTAGAGCATGTATGGTGGGCCCCAGCTCAAATATGTATGAAGGGGTTGGTGGCAATATGTATCAAGAGGAATCAGACGTTGAAGAAATTGTTTCTAACTTATCTAGGAGTGCTAGTATTGCAGGTCATGGTCGTATAGACCAATTTCTATCAAAGCCTAAGTCAGAACAGATGACCCTCAAAGGCATGGTGAAAGGTACAAGAAACATGTTGGGCAGATATGTTGGCAAATGGTTCTACGGTAAGGGGATCCCCTTTGATGCAGCCAATAGCCCATATTTTTTACCTATGTTCAATGCAATCCAGAAAGCCGAGCCCGGGGTAAAACCCCCTACGACATATGAGCTCAATGGGCCAATATTGGATGAAGAGGTAGAGGAAGTTAGAAAGTGGATTGAAGAATATAAACAGAGTTGGCCAAGAACAGGCATTACTCTCATGAGTGATGGTTGATTGAATAAAGTTAGCAAAAAAGAGTTTTTAAACTCTTGGCCTATTCTCCAAAAGGTATAGCTTTTTTGTCTAACAAAGACATATCAGGGACGAAGAAGGATGTAAACTTCTACATAAGACTATATGATCAGATAGTGGAGGAGGTGGGAGATAAGCATGTAGGTGGGAGATAAGCATGTAGTCCAGTTTATTACGGACAATACGCGTGCATGTGTTTCTGCGGGCAAAGAACATTATAAGCAA